TAGCAGAGCAACAATGCCCATACTAGACATCATAACTAACAATAAAAAGCCTAGTGCCAGGTATGGCACTTTTTTGTGACTACTCTTTTAGAGTAGTTGACCACTGAGGTCCCATAGTCTCCCTCTCCCTGAAACATTGCAAACTATTACCAATGCTCTTGTTTACCCTCTAGAACAGTGATTCTCAACCTGTGGTTTGTGACTTCTGTGGGGATTAAATGACCCTTTCACAGGGGTAGCCTAAAACCATTGGAAAATACAGCCATTTATATTACAATTTATAAAGTAGCAAAATTACAGTTATGAAGTAGCAATGAAAATAACTTTATGATTGGGGGGTCACAACATGAGGAACTGTATTAAGGGGTCACAGCACTAGGAAGGTTGAGAACCACTGCTCTAGAACTTGACAGAGCAGGCCAGTTACACATATAAAGTCACAGTGCTTGTCACAATAGAGTCAGTCTTCCTTAAGGGTGTGGTCCCTGGTATGTAGACCATACTCCAGTGGAAGGCCACATACCCAATGATACGTGAGCAGCACAAACTGGACTTGACAGGTAGATAAGGAAGGCAGATATGGGAGAAGCTGAGTAAGCAAGGTGAACGTGATCAAAATACATTGTACAAAATTCACAAATTACAAGAAGGGAAACCGTAAAAATAGAAAATACAGACTGGGAAGTACTTCAGTGTTACAGCACTTGTCTAGCTTGTGCCAGGCCCTGGGTTTGATCCCCAGAATCATAAAAAATAAAATAAAAAAGCAAAAAAGTAAAATAAAAATAGAAAAAAGAAAAATCAAGGCCCAATGCTAATTAACAAAGTCACCAGCTTCAGACCCTACCCAGCTATTTTAACAAACAAACTACCTTTACATCCCATTTGGTCATGTATCACCCCTATATCATATCAGCTAAATTTTAACATATCAACAGTCTTCATTTATAAAAACTCAAGTATATAGACAAACAGATGGTTGTAAATATATTTATTCACATAATTAATCATATATTGTTTTTATATAAAAATTTAAATGATCTTCAGTTTTCATAAAATTTGAATTAATAAGTACTTTTATTTTTATGATCAAGCTTACTATTTTTACAGGTAACTATATGAAACCTCTACATATCCATTGCTAGGTGATGCAATGTTACCTTAAAAAGAAAATTTAATTATTCATTTCTTCTGGCTTTGAAGCTTTCTTTATGTTTTAATAACTAATAAATATTCTCATAATTCCTTAGAAGCTTGTGGGTCCTAGGTAAATAATGAGTAAATTGCCGTATACTTCTTGCCCTCCCTCCAAGAGCATCTTAGCCGGTCTCCACCCGCTTCCTGGTGGATCTCAAAGCGGCCCCAGTCCTGTGGGTCAGCTGCTCTGCAGGCTTTGCTGGTCGGTTCCCACCCACACCTCTGAGATGTTCTTCCTTCTCTCGAGAGTGAAGTCTCCTGTTAGAGGAAGTTTACATCAAATTCCCTGAGCATGTGCTTTTTCTGTGTGCCATTTTCTGCCCTGCCCCCAAACAGGAAAGTCTAAAGAGGGTAAGTCTCAGCACAGCTATTGCCTACATCTGGATAAACTTCCCAGGTCCCTCCCAGCATCCTGGGGCTGACTCTACATCTCAGGATCGTAGGAGGCCATCCAGACGCTCCAGAGTGACCCAGGCTCATATTTAGATAGAACTTCACCCTCTTCAGAGAATCTTTATGAAAAATAAAGGATGTTCTGACTCTGAAAGATGTTCTGTCCTCAGGATATTTTCTCTGCTAAGAATAAAACCATTTCAGCCACAATTTCATCATCATGAATACAATTTTATACTGAAAGGATTTTCTGAAGGAAATTCCATTAAGACAATTTAATTCCTGAATAATTCTTATAAGTAGTCCAGTTAAATCTTTTCCAGTTTTTCCTATCTCTATTCATATTTTATTTCACAGAACTTATTTTCACTGAAGCCCAGGCTCTCCATGGACCTGTTCTATAAACTTTAGTTTATCAATCATAATTTTTTATACCAAATATTATGGTTGTACCTTTCACCACAACTTTTATAGACAATTATTTCTACAAAGTTCAATGGTGTGAGTCAGATTCACATATCAGAATTTTACTTGGTACAGATTTTAATTTCATTTCTACCAGTGACATCCACCATAAATTCTATGAAACAGAATGGTGCATCTTTCAGAGCACAGCCATTCGTTTATGACCTCAAATATTCCAAGGCCCTGGCCTGACACAAACGATTACCTTGCATACAGTGAGTGCTGAGTACATGAGCCCTGGAGTCAGACTATTGGGGTTAAGTTGGGAAAATAATCTTTGTATTTTCTTATGTATTAAATGGAATCACTATTAGTGCTTAAACCATAAAGTTATTGTAATGATTAAAGGATCACACATGCAAAGGTATTCACAGACATGACACATAGAAGCCATCTAAGAACTGGTAGCTCTTGTCATTGCTCCAACCAATCTTAAGACTATCTGTAAGAAGCTATCCCATGCCTCACAGCTTAAAATATCAACAATTTATGTCTCAGCAGCACTCTATTCTCCTTTTATTCATCCCTTCATCTGTAGATAGACACAGGTTGTTTTCCCCCTTCCGTTATTGTGAATAGTGCTGTGATTAACCACAAGGTACAGAGCACAAAGTCACTAGAGTACAAGCAGGAATGAAATACTGATACATGATATAGAATGGATGAATGCTAAAAGCATTATGCTAAATGAAAGAAGCTGTTACAGAAGTCTGTCTCCATAGAAACAAAAAGATCAGACTAGAGGGAGGAAGGGATGAAGAGTGACTGGTTAATGGAATAGCTACTTTTGAAGAGATGGAAATGTCTTAAAACTAGTAAGGTGATGGTCACAACATTGTAAATATGCTGTAAATGCCATCAAACTGCCATCAAGATGCCCTAAAAGAGCCAATCTTGTGTGAATTTCACTTCACTTTTAAAAATCACAACCAAAGCCATTCACTATTTATGACAGTTGGGAGGGCTCCTCCTGGCAGGAGGGCTGCTCTCCCACCTGTTTTCTCATTCTCCAGGAGGCAAGTCCTAGCTTTTCCAAACCGCAGTGCATAGGACTAAACAAGCTTCGGTTTGCTGGTATGCCAGTGATCAAGAACAAACCACATGTCCAGTCCCAGAGTCAGCATGGGTGAGAGCTGTACAAGGATATCAACACCAGGGGGCATCACTCGCTGGAGGCCATCCCCGTGACAACCTTTGACAGGCACCATTCTAATCATCTCCAAGTTCAGCCTGGGTCTGACCTTCGGTTGTGGCTTCAGAATAAACAAACTCAAGACTTAAGCATGCCCCGTCTCCTCAGGGCAGAATGACACTGGCCTCCTTCAGCAGCCCTCCTTTTCAGACTTCTCTCATATTTAATTTTGCTGGTTTTGATCAGACCCCATCTTGCTCTCAACCCTGATCTCAATTTAATACAAAACAGATGAGTGGGCAGCAGGACAGATTCAATAAAACAGTCTTCAGTGTCCAATTCTGAGGGCTGTGGACTCACCAGTGACATTCCTGGGGAGTTAATCCTATCAACAAGGGCCAGGGTCAGCTCTGCTGTGAAAGAACACCTCCACCCAGGCTGCCTGTCAGGCAGAGTACCCATAGTGTGCTTAAAGATAACAAGATCTGTTTCCAAGAGACACGCAACCACAACTGACTGAAATCATGCAAGACTGGCACTGTCCTGATCCCCATGTTACAAGTGAAGAGTATACTGGGCACTGTCCTGCCCAAATGCAATTTCTGGGATGAAAGGCTCACCGTCTGCAGTGACTAGTTCCTTCAGGCATTACCCAAAGGCATCACTTTCCTTTCTTTGAAGCCCACATGCATGGCCATAATGGCAGTATATGCTCCACAACTCCGTGGGCATTGCTGCTGTCCTCTCTTTGTCCTATTCATCTGCTTCCCCTCTCCCTCACACACATCAGTCTATAATAAATATCCCAGAAGCCAATGCCATCTCCTGTCTGCTTCCAGAAATCCTACATACTATAAAGAGTCTAAACCTTCTCAATATCCAACAAGAAGCTGGAACTCGGGGCTGGCGTTCATCACCTCTGTACACCCCCTGGGGTTACTGGTCTGGAGTCAGGCAATATGATGTATCAGGCAGGATAAGGGTCTGCATGAATCACAGGAAGGCAAAGAAGCAGTGGCTTAAGCATCACAGATGCCTATTTCCTTTCACATAACTATCTAGACTCTAGTGTAGAACTGACAAAGGCCTCCACAGGGCCTTCCAGAGCCTGGGCCTTCCATGGTTGGTCTGCAACCCACACTCACACACCAGGCAGCAGGTGAGGGAAGTGAAGTTGTTACACTGGCTTTTCTTAAAGGAAAGTTCCTGGAAGCTGCTACTAACGTTTCTACTGTCAGCCCAGGAGGCAAAATATTATCACATTGTCATCTGCAAAGAAAGTTGTAGAATCACATCTTCCTTTTGGATGTCCACCTTCCCAGCTGGTTGTTAGCTGGGAAATAAGTATGGAAGAAAAGTGTAAGAGATTCTGAGAGACACTCCACTGGTCTCAACTGGCATGGTGCTCACTTCTCATTCATGCCACTACCCTATTAGTGAGTAAGGGAATCATTGTATCTCCCTATGTAAAGAGTGTGAGGAAGCTACTCTGATCCCCTTCTAGAGAGTCAGGGTGAAAACAGATGCCTGTGGATTTAAAACAGTGTGTATTGGCCCCCAATTCGCTCTTTGATCCACCAGGATGTAAATATCCTGTTGTATGATATTTTGTTTGTGTTCTGATAAATAAAGCTTACCTGGAGATCAGAGGGCAGAGCTAGCCACTAGTTAACCATAGAGGCAAGGCAATGGTGGTACACACCTTTAATTCCAGCACTTGGAAGGAAGAAACAGGAAGATCAGGAGTTCAAGGCTACCCTGGGCTACATGAGATTGAACCAGTCTAAAAGAGAAATGTAGCTGAGCAGGGTGGTGGTGGCTCACACCTTTGATCCCAGCACTTGGGATCTCATGCCTTTGATCCCAGCACTAGGGAGGTGGAGACAGGAATATGAAGCTGGTGGAGACAGGATCTCGCCCCATTCAGTCTGAGAATTCGAAGAGATTGAATCCCGCCCAGTTTGGTCTGAGATTTCATAGAGGTAAGAAGTTAATGGCTGGCTGCTCTGCTTCTCTGATCTTTCAGCTTTCACTCTGATATCTGACTCTGGGTTTTTATTAATCAGACTAATTAGTATCACGCTTCAGTATCCTTTCTTGGATAATTAGATGCACTGAGCCCATTTTTGTTTTCAGCTGACCGTAGCTGAAGGTGTGTAGATGGTAACTGTGGTGGCAGGACACCCTCATCTTACTTATTTAGACTTGACAAACATGCTATAAAAGGGGACCTGCCTCAAGATGATCTGCAGTTTTCTCTTTCTTGCTCTTGGTCATACTGTTGAGAATGGGGAGAACTGCAGCACTCTGCAAATAGAGAGAGAAGCTCAGTGATCTAGGGGGACGCAGGTGAAGAGATGGGAGAACCAGGGATGGGACGGAAGCTGCCAGGGCTCTGTCCCCCACCCTCCTCCAGCATATGCACTCACCACGTGCTTTTCGTGAGTTGGTTTTCCTCAAAAGCGCAGAGTTTTGAGTGTGGACTGATGTGAGTTGCACTGAGAATCAGCAGCTAAGCCTGACAAGCCATCCAGAGCATAAGCCCTACCTATTTCTGAAGAAAGATTTGGATTTTCAAAAACCAGGACCTAAAGATCTGGGTTGAAGACACTTCTTTCAAACCACATGGTAGTTTATGGGGCATAAAAGTTCCAAAGCCTTTAATTGGGCTGGAAGTTTCATTGTCAAATTAAGGATCAGAAAACCAGGGAGTCAGCTCAGTCGGTAAAATGCTTGTTGTGCACGCATGGAGACCTGAGCTCCGATCCCAGCACCTGCGTAAAATGCCAGGTTCAGCGGCGTGTGTCTGTAATCTAGTGCTGAGGGGTCAGGACAGGTGGATCCCAGGAGCTGAGCACGGGTGGGGGCAGCCAACTGAGCTCCAGGTTGTAGTGGGTGGCTGTGGGAGCCACGCCCTGAAGCACTGCCCCTAGTGAGGCAGCTGTGGCTGTTACACCTGCCTGTGACCTTGAAGTACCTGCTCTTGGGGCATGGCCACTCAGGGACCCTTAAGACCTGGGATGCACAACTTAGGCAGCTCTCTTGGCTGCCTCGTGGTTTGGATGCTGAGATCTTGGACCAAGCAGATCAGCAGTGTGGGACATAGTTCAGCTTTCCCAGACTCTTAAGATAAATTTCCCGTGGTTGTGAGTTAACCCCCAAATAAATTCCTTTGATCATTAAGCTGACTCGGTAGATTGCTAGTGATTTAATCCCAATACCAGGCTCAATGGGAGACTCTGTCTCATAAAATAAGGGGAGAAAGCTATTGAGCAATATACCCCACACCAACCTCTGGCCTTATGTACCTACATGGGCAAGTTCACTCTGTTTCATACACACACCAGGAAAATGGGCCTCAGAGAAGTCGAGCAACTTGCCCAATATCCTGCAGCCAAGATTCAAACCCTTGTGTGTCTTGTGGCAAAGCCAGTGCTTTAATCACTAATGTCCCACACACTGTCATAATGCCACCTATGACTGGAGGCATGGAGTGGCCAGTTGACAAAAGTCTACTCTGGGATGATAGACACCTCCCCCTTGTAGCTCCTGCATATTCATGGGTCACTATGATTTCTAGTGGACCCCTTACCCTTCCCACGCAGGCAGACAGAAGGAATTGCAGAGAGGCTTGCAGACAGCAGCGGCACTTTCTTCCAAAGGCGAAAAGAAGCCCAGCTCCAATCTACAAAACCCTGCAGCAGTGGAGTCAAGAGCAAGAACTACGGAAGGGAGAGGCCCACAAACACAAGATGGAGAAGTGAAGCTCTGCCAAGACCACACTCCGCAATAGAAGCCTCTCCCAGATACATGCTAAGCTTCAAGTAAACAGCCTATTAGCACTGCCTAGCCAGCCACAGGGTAAGGAGCTGCCAACATTTCCATAAGGAAGTCCTTGTTCTTGTACTGAAAATGAGTGAAGCATTGGGAGTTTATTTTTGGTTGAGAATCTTGCATGTGAACCACTTTTTAGTTCACTTTTCATTGACAGTTGGCCGTCCAAGGATGAGCATCTCCACTGACTAGTCACTCCCCAGTTTACACCCTTCAAAAAGTATCCAAAGCAAGCTCCCTAGCTGTTTAAATGGCGTTGTTGTTGCTCAGAGCCAGTGTGATCATGCAGCTGGGCAGGGGTTCCAGGGGCAGGACCTTTGAGCACTCTAGGCCTCCGCACACTTTCCTGCCCTTGGTGCTAGATACCCCCAAAGCTCACCTGGTACTTACAGCTTGTGAGCAGCACTACAGCCCTGTGCTCTCCTCCTCCCAGAGGACCAGCCCTATTCGGTAATGGCACGCTCTTTGTCTGCTGCAGCCATGGTCCCATACCCTTCACCACCATGTCTGGTTTCACCATTCTCAACCGCTCATGCAGCTCTGCTCCACCGTCTGTCCTTCCAGTTTCATGAGGTCACTTTTTAAAAGCATCTTTCCATAGACCTGCCTTTTTTTAGTTGTTCCAGTAATACTGTGGGCTCTAAAAACTCCTTCTCTGCCATGGTGTCTCCCCTCGAAGCCTCCATGATTTCTCAGGTTCCTTGGAGCTGCTCCACAGTCCCTGGGATGCTGGTGGCCATCACCATCTTCCCTAAGTACTTTGACTGCCTCCCATCCTCTCTTAACTAGCACTGTCCAGTGCTGGGAGGTGACTATTCACCTGTAAACCCTCTGCATTCAGTCATGAGGGAGAACCTGTGAAGCATAACCAGCCAAACCAGATGTGTACTGCAGAGATGAGAAAGGGCAATTACAGGAGGGCAAGTCTCAAGAGTAGGAGCCATGAGGAGGGATGAGGTAAAGGACAGAAGCCTGGGAAGTGAGTAGTGAAAAACTCCTGAACTCTGAAGTACAGGCAGGCAGCCTTCTGTACATGTGGGTTGTGCAT